GTGTGTGCGAGTGTAATTTGTGACTGTTTATATTACGCTTGGCAGATGACGACGACGACGACGATATTGATCTTGATGATGTTGATGACGATGATGACAATTATGACAATTATAACGATAACAACGATGCACCTCCAAATGTAATAGTTCTCTCCGCGTTCTTTCGCCCCGCCATATGTGAACGTTATACTAACCACCGGACACTTTCAGTTTTACTAAATGGGATTTGAAAGAAGCGATCAATCAATTCCGTACTTAGTTATAACGAATATAGAAGGGATTTAAAACGTGCAATTTTATTATTTTTTCAAGCTCAGAATAATTAATTCAGCCCCCATTCTCCCTGTTCAGCTCATCCTTCATCCCCCCCCCCCCATCCCTCCGTTATAAAAACCAACAAAAACGCAAACAAAGCACCCATAAAAACACCCATAGAAACGCCCTAAAAAACACTAGCAAAACACTAACAAGAATACCCTTAAAAACGAACAAAAACACCCTTTAAAAATCCCCCAAAACACAGATAAAACTAACAAAAGCACCCACAAAAACACCCAGAAAAACATTAGGAAAAACGGACGAAAACATCCCATAAGAACATCCGCAAAAATACTAGCAAAGACTAACGCAAACACCCTTAAAAACACCCTTAAAAACACCCGTGAAAACTAACAAAAACGCCCCAGCAAAAACACCCATTTATAAAACAGAAAAAAACCCTGCAAAAAGTAACAAAACCACCAGCAAAAACACCCTTAAAAACAGGCAAACATTAACAAATAACAACAGAACCCCCCCCCCCTAAAAAAAAACAAAACCCTAGCAAAATCATAGACAAGACACCCATGAAAAGACTAGAACAAAATAACAAATAAAAACTAACGGAATCACCAGCAAAAACACCCATAAAAAATCTAGCAAAAGCTAACAAAAATACTCATAAAAACACCCTAAATCTTTTTTTAAAAAAAAGAACACTTGCAAAAATAAACAAAAACACTCTCAAAAACACAAACAACAACACTCAAAAACAAAAACCCTTGCAAATACACCCACAAAAACACCCACAAAAATACACACCCTCAAACACACCCCACAAACTCTCTCCTCCCTACTGGCTTGGGGTATCGATTCTCCCACCTGAGATTTGGTTCTCCCTTTTTGTTATACGATATTATCGGCACTACAGCTGAGGGTTATTAGAGGAAATAATGGCATGATTATTTGGAAGCAGAACCACCGAAAGTCAGCCCAGAAATTCAATATGCGTGGCTCGTGCCGTGTGATTTTGGCGGGAAAGTGTATCATTGACCCGGGTCACAAGTCTTAAACGTTTTGGTGGTTTCTGTCTTTGAGCGGGATGTCTCCGAGGTGGGGTCGCCGCACACACACATGTTGTCTTTGTTCTAC